ATCTCAGTTATCGGTACATAGGAAAAGTACAAGGCGAAGGTCAGCGACCATCAATAACGCGTATGTCCCCCGTTGGAATCGAAAGGGGCCTGACATCTCCTGCCCATGGAAGAGATGAGTATGCGAATCACATCCTGGGGAATGGTAGCCCACTCGGACTGCAACGCAAAAGCCAACTGCTGCAACGTCTGGGGTTGTGGTTGACGTCGGCTTAGCCGTCTATTCAATTCATCCCACAGGTGTTCTATCGGGTTCAAATCCGGGGAGATCTGGACGCCAGGGGCGAACATCAACATTGTTGGTGTGTAGACGGGCTCTTGTGATCCGTGCTATATGCGGTCGAGCGTTGTCCTGCTGGAATACACCGTTGCCGTTGGCTGCAATTTGGAGGACGTGTGGTAGAATTTCGTTGATGTATCATTGAGCCGTACGATTGCCCTGGATATGGCCCAAACCTGTCATGCCATGATGAGAGATAGACGCCAACAACATAAACGCTACCCCCTCCAAACCTGTCCACATCCTGTACTTAGTTTCAGGCATAACGTTCTTCCCAATGTCTGTAGACCCATGCTCTTCCATCCCCTCGACGGTGGAGAAATCTTGAATCGTCGCTGAATCAGATATCTCTCCATCGCAGTTGAGGCCATACCCTGTGTTGACGACACCAATGCAGTCGCTGTTGACGATGTTGTCGAGGTGGCTGCGGTCGTCCTTTCACGTAGGTGGCGCAGTCGGATGTAGCGATGTTGGGTGGGGGTGGGGGGGGGGGGTGGGGGGGGGGGGTGGGGGGGGGGGGTGGGGGGGGAATTAGTTTTGGCCGATCACGCGTTGACCCATGCTGTTCAAACCGATTCCATAGCCGTGTGATGGTGCTGGGCGCTACTTTGAAAACCCTGGCTACAAGATTGTTGATGGGGCGTCAATCAATACTCACCCCTCACTCTCTTACTTACTGTTATGACACTGGTATTCAAAGTATCCCGATGTGCACGTGCATGGATACGGAGTCCCGTCTGAACACACCGTTGATGCAGAACATGCTGTCTTGTCTGGAACATAACCAAGAAAACCATGGAACGCAACACACAATATCAAGTCCTCACTTTCCAAGAACATAAAACTTACTTTCAATAACCTTGTTTGTATATGACGACAAACCTTAGATATACAGATCATGATCGTGACCTTATTCGTTATCTTAACTCAACAAAGATTATGATAATCAATAGAAAAAGGCCTAAAAAATAGGTTTAGGTATACAGTGGACTGTATAGGCACACGTATCGGTATGCAATCAATTCGTTACTTTCTTAAGCAGTTATTTCCCGTATGTGTGCTTTTATCAATAACTGCATGGATTGTCTGGTCCAGTCTTGATTATGTACGTTTTATTATATCTGATCACGGGTTTGTAACAGTTTCCTCACGATTAAAAAAGATCCTTGGTATGCAGGATAAGCTGTATTCGTCCGTATCATTATAGTGGTGAAGACATGTACTTTATGTATCAGTCAGGATTCACGTGGACACAACAGAAAGGGATACAACAGAAAGGTCCCCAGTAGCCCAAGCTTGTCATACGAGGCGACTTAATCTTAATCATCAGACTCGGTGACTCTTGACTGCGTTTGTACAAAACTGGGTGGAGCAAAATTTAAGTCCAAATTATTTTCTGTGTTTAATGGACGTACAGCATTAACCCCTTCTTACGTAAATTCAACAGTCAATATTATCGTCTACATGGTCCAGAGGAAATGTTTCCCAAACTACTGAGAAAGTCTTTCGCACAAGTGGTCCCAAGGTGTAAGTGGTTACACTTGATACACCACGTGTTTTCTCCGTATCTGTGCCTGTTAATTACAACTATGTCATAACAAAGTATAAATACAACTACGGATGGCCCAGTCGTCTAAGGCGCCGCGATTCGCTGTGCAGAGTTGCGTCCCTTGGCCACGCCAGAAACCTATGATTGTGGGTTCGAATCCCGATCCGCCCCGATTATGTTGCTAGGTTTGTCAGTACCATACCCGTGCTCGTGGGTTTCACCGAAGTGCTAAACGCCTGAGACCTGCATCACTTCGGGCTTTCCTCCCAAATTAAGCTGACACGCCGCCATATAACTGGAATACTGTTAAAAGCGGCGTTAAACACATCTCACTCACTCACTAAATACAACTAATATTAACGCAAATATGTTCTTATAAATATTTGATAAATAATCAGATTATAACAAATACACACTCAATACATACTAAAAGAGATTATCTTTTTCACTTGCTTTCCTTTATCTGTTTTACTTCTTTCTCTCTGTTTACAATTCATATATAGTCTAGTGATCATTTTCGACCGATTGGTCCCAACCACGTCTATTAACCCATTTTCCCTTTCGTGCTACCGTCCCAACCTCGCCACTTAAGCCATTTTCCCTTTAGCGGTATCCGTATTTTACAAAATTTTAATTAAGATTTCGCTGTATCGGGCCGATACCGTCTACATAATAAATCCTTATGATTACGGGTTGTAAGACGGCTTGTATATATATATCTCCTGGCGGTGCTGACTTAGCGTTTTCAAAAACGTATACTTTGTATAAAAACTGTTAAAACGTTTATATTTCTTAACACAGTGTAACCAAATTGTATAACAGTTAACTTGAGTTGATTGTCTTTCCAGCAGTATTTATATTCAGCAAATCAAAGAGGGATCTGCGTTATTCAGCCATAGGTAAAAATGCTGGTATTGTAAGTTTGCTATTATTTTACATAACTCGCAATGTGGAAGCACTCGAATGTTTCAAGTAAAGTCGAGTAAGCCCTTTTGTTTGAAATACAGATACCCGATGAGAGATTATGACATTTCTATCAAATTATGCATTCATTGAGAATTGCCCGTGAATGTATGTATGCACTGATACAAAATCCCGCTGAAATTGTCAGTGTTCTTCTAAGTCCAAACAAAATTGACGGAAGTGGTCGTGATTAGTTCATTCGCAGACTGTTTCATAGATTATGTTATAATAAGAATGACAGTTAGGAATATATCGATATGAAATAAAATAGTCTACACAATCTTACACAAAGTGACATTGCTCGATACTGGACATCATTATTATTTCTTAATAATTAACAAAATTATACTGACTTGTTAACACCCAAGACTAAGTACACGTTATTTCAATCAACGTTGTCATCGGCACTAAATGTATTCAATGATCCTATTTTTCGATCACCCGTAACTCTGGCGCCATGTAATACAAGTATCGCTTCGTTGTACAATCACGCAGGCAGGCAGCTTATACATTTCAGGTGTGTACATGCTCGATCCAGAGACGCCCCCCCTCCTTCTCTTTTGAAAGCCAAATGTAGTACATTTTGATATTTTGGACCCCTCCCTTTCAGAAATTCTTGATCCGCCCATGCTGCCGATTACTTTTGGCTCACGTGTTGATCACGAACTTCCTGCCTATGAACGTAAAACGTGTGCCACATTAATATGAACTATCATAGCTGTCTTTCCATATTTTAGATTTGAATATTTTATATCAGTCAGTGTCTCTAATAGAATGAAAATCTGCACTGTTGTTTCAAGTTAAACTAGGCAGAAATAGATCGAGAAGCACCAGTGACGGTGACCACTTTACGAATATCACCATATTTCGCAATCCGTAGCACTGTATAACATATGAAACGCAAGATGTTAAAGCTGAGATGATTGGGGTGATCATAGTTTTGATGCTGAATTTAAACTGAGTGTTTGACATCTCAATATTCACAGTTGAAAAGGAAGTTTTATCGAAACCAATATGTTCCCTTGGCATTGAAGGGGCTGCAGAATGAGGAACCAAGATGGTTAACCCCACGTGTTTGCAACAAAATGTTTGCTACTAAATGGATCGGGTGGTCAGGCTCGGTGACTTGATTGATTGGATGTCATCGTATCCCATATGCGTTAACCAATGTTCATGATGTCAGTCACTGGATTGTGTGGTCCAGACTCGATTATGTGATTGAGTGAATGAGTTAGGTTTAACGCCGCTTTTAACAGTATTCCAGTTATATCGCGGCGTGTCAGCTTAATGTGGGAGGAAAGCCCGAAGTGATGCAGGTCTCAGACGTTTACCACTTCGGTGAAACCCACGAGCACGGGTATGGTGCTGACAAACCTAGAAACATAATCGGGGCGAACCGGGATTCGAACCCACAATCAAAGGTTTCTGGCGTGCCCAAGGGACGCAACTCTGCACAGCGAATCGCGGCGCCTTAGACGACTGGGCCACCCGTGCCCCCCTCGATTATGTCCATACCACAGTCATATTACTGGAGTACTGCGGAGTTCGGCGCAAACAACAAACACAAAAACAAATACTACTTCACAATCATTGTGATGTATGTGAAGATGACAGAAAGTCACTGTTCTTTATTTAGCGGTATGCGGTTGAATGGCTTGGCTTGGACAGGGGTGATAACTGCGGGTGGATGGTATGAGAGAAAAAGCATGCGGGGAGGCGTGAAATTTGAAAGTGTGCATCGCTGTGAGTGATAACCTGATGTACGGCTGTTGTTAACGCTATGATTTTGCCACGAAATGTGTAAGTAATACATTGCATATGCATGCATGATAAATTTATTTATGAAAGGGGTGTAATTTAATATATTGTTCGTTTAAAGCCAGAATTATTTGAGAGTTACCACCGTGTTGTGACGTGTGCATGTTATTACCGTATTAACCGTAAATTTTGGATTATTACGGAGTGAGTTTGTATTGTGACAAGCGAGGTGTGTTTCGGACATGAGGACATGCAAGTAAGTTTGTTGTTTGTATGGTTTCAGCTTGAACCTGCATTGTATGGTAAACGTTGAACATTGACTGTTCGGATACATCACAGAATAAAGCAGTGTATGTGTGAGAAAATGCAGAATCTGATGTTTATTGTTTTTTGCATACTACAGTATGGTTCATACAACTTATGATCCTAATGTGAAAACGTATATTTCTCAATACCCCCAACGTTCAAGCAGTGTTTGCTGTTACTAGTTTTCAACGTTAACTGACAGGTTAAAATGATAACTTGATAATGGACAGGTAGCTATTGTGAACGTTGATACTGTACTTACCAACATCATTTGTCAGATTCATTCCGGCCGGATGGGTATATACACACTGGCTGTCACTATACGGAAACATGTACATCATAGCGCCAAATGGAACCTCATCTAGGTGGGTCAAGTGGTAGAATCCTGGTAATGTCAACTCCACTGATGCCTCTGAGAAACAGCTGCCTTTAATAACTTTGAATTGCGGAAATATCTGTGGTCGTATTCCGAGAACCTTGTCAGTGGGAACAATGACTGTTATATACATTTTCTGCAGGTCAACTGTCGGATTAAGAACGGGTTTTCCAATGTCATAAGAGCTGGAATATAAACTAGTCGGTGGAACGATTGCCAGTGACGGTGTGTCTATAGTCATCTGCACAACAAGAACTGGTTTGTCGGCTTCAATGTACACTGGACCTGTGGTAGAATCAACAGTTATGTCATGAGACTCCCGTGCACCCACAGAGAAAGATATACCACTGACGGACGGGGAGCGTACGGAGGTCGACGCTTTTGATCCAACAACTCTGTATATAGCACCACCAGTACTTGGTGGTGGTACTGGCAAGTAAAAGCTTCTCCCAAATGACTTCACAGGCAGCAACATTTCTTGCATGCCGTCTTTAAATCCTGGGTAAGGCCTAAACTTCATGTTATGCCCACTAATCACAGCCACGGGTTTGTCACTGGTGATCAGTGTTCCAGTAATGTCCTCTGCACAGTAGGCGCCAACTGTCTGATACTCGTTGAGTGTAAATGTTCTACTCTCCCCATTGAAGAATGTCCCATTGCCACACCTACCTGCCATGAGGGGTCCTTGTATCTTAAGACTGGTGTTCACCTGGGTATTGTTCTCCGTAGCGATGATGAGGAAAGCAGTCTGTGTGGTCTTTGTGTAGGGAAGTTCAGGGACAGTATCTGTGTGATTATCAATGTGTGTCACTACAATGTATTCCGTGGATAAAGTCTCAATCGGCAAGGCAAGGTATCCTTCTCCTTGATTAGCAAGTACGTGGTAACAGAACAAGGTTATTTCCTCAGTGGATGTAAAGTAGAATGACATGTCAGTCACCTGAAGGTTGGCTTGGTAATAAAAACTTTCATTAACTTTGTACTTGTAGTCTACCATGCTTTGGATGTGTAAATCTTCCGAAATACCGAATCCACTCTCAACGTGAACAGTGGCATTGAATTCAGACAGAATCACAAAGAACATGTTTGGAAAGCTTTTATCTGAGTATGGTTGTTCAAAGAACGCTGCAACGAATCGTCGTCCCTTGGGCATCGCTGAAGCACCTGAAGACAAATGTGAATGAAGACAGAGTGAAGGAGTATACATATTGAGTCTGTTTGTGTTGTGCGTTTGTTGTTTAACTCCGCACTCAGCAATATTCCAGCTACATGTATATGACGGTGGTCTGTAAATAATCGAGCCTTGTCCAGACAATCCAGTGTTTGACATCATAAGTATCGATCAAGCAAATGGAATACGATGACATGCATCAAACAGTTGGGTCTTTTACGGTCGCTTATTCTATCCACGAGCATACCAAGTACGTACACCATGCATTAAACCCGTGAAGATCCGGGGTAGAATAGGTCAGTCCAGTGATTGACATCATGAGCATCGATCCACGCAACAGGGACATGATGGCATGCATCAACCAATTCAACCACTTCAAACCGAGGTCTTTTTAATTCTGGTGTCCCCCCGCCGTGATATTGCTGGAATATTTCTAAAAGCGGCGTAAAACCATACTCACTCACTCACCATGTCACATAAATCAATTGTTGTTGGTCTATTCTTGTGGTGGAAACGCATGAATTCAGTGTCTGTTCATGAATGCCGAATCTCTACAGATAAAACGCTACACTTGTGCAAGGAAACCATTCCTGTCATTCCACGTCATGTTCAATATTAAAAACAACATCCTCCAAAAAGCCTGTTAACCGGTAAAATGGCTGCAATTTACATTGTTAAAGCTGATGACCCCATATCAGGAGCAGAATATAGCTTATGCTTCTCTTGGCGATAGACAAATGTATGTATGTACAAATCATGCGCCAGTGGAGATTCTAAACAATCGAGGTCGCATTTATCATCGCCATACATTGGCAATACGCGGGTTCATTTTACCCTATGCATCCTGCATTACTTAGGGTTTTGTTATAAAAAATATGATTTTCAAGATTGTATTATTTCTGGCATATCCCCTCTGACCCCTCGTCTTTCTCCTCAATATCCACTTTCCTCTCTGCCATTTCGCCTTCCCCCTTCCTCTCTCCTCTGACCTCACCCCTCTCTCCTCTGACCTCCCCCCTCTCTCCTCTGACCTCATCACCCCTCTCTCCTCTGACCTCATCACCCCTCTCTCCTCTGACCTCACCCCTCTCTCCTCTGACCTCACCCCTCTCTCCTCTGACCTCACCCCTCTCTCCTCTGACCTCATCATCCCTCTCTCCTCTGACCTCATCACCCTTCTCTCCTCTGACCTCCCATCTCTCCTCTGACCTCAACCCTCTCTCCTCTGACCTCAACCCTCTCTCCTCTGACCTCACCCCTCTCTCCTTTGACCTCATCATCCCTCTCTCCTCTGACCTCATCATCCCTCTCTCCTCTGACCTCCCCTCTCTCCTCTGACCTCACCCCTCTCTCCTCTGACCTCACCCCTCTCTCCTCTGACCTCCCCCCTCTCTCCTCTGACCTCATCACCCCTCTCTCCTCTGACCTCATCACCCCTCTCTCCTCTGACCTCACCCCTCTCTCCTCTGACCTCACCCCTCTCTCCTCTGACCTCATCATCCCTCTCTCCTCTGACCTCATCACCCTTCTCTCCTCTGACCTCCCCTCTCTCCTCTGACCTCAACCCTCTCTCCTCTGACCTCACCCCTCTCTCCTTTGACCTCATCATCCCTCTCTCCTCTGACCTCATCATCCCTCTCTCCTCTGACCTCCCCTCTCTCCTCTGACCTCATCATCCCTCTCTCCTCTGACCTCATCATCCCTCTCTCCTCTGACCTCCCCTCTCTCCTCTGACCTCACCCCTATCTCCTCTGACCTCAAACCCTCTCTCCTCTGACCTCATCACCCCTCTCTCCTCTGACCTCATCACCCCTCTCTCCTCTGACCTCACCACTCTCTCCTCTGACCTCACCCCTCTCTCCTTTGACCTCATCATCCCTCTCTCCTCTGACCTCATCACCCCTCTCTCCTCTGACCTCCCCTCTCTCCTCTGACCTCACCCCTCTCTCCTCTGACCTCACCCCTCTCTCCTCTGACCTCACCCCTCTCTCCTCTGACCTCATCACCCCTCTCTCCTCTGACCTCACCACTCTCTCCTCTGACCTCACCCCTCTCTCCTTTGACCTCGTCATCCTTCTCTCCTCTGACCTCATCACCCCTCTCTCCTCTGACCTCCCCTCTCTCCTCTGACCTCACCCCTCTCTCCTCTGACCTCACCCCTCTCTCCTCTGACCTCACCCCATTCTTCTCTGACCTCATCACCCCTCTCTCCTCTGACCTCATCACCCTACTCCTCTGACCTCATCACCCCTCTCTCCTCTGACCTCCCCCTCTCTCCTCTGACCTCCCCCTCTCTCCTCTGACCTCACCCCTCTCTCCTTTGACCTCATCATCCCTCTCTCCTCTGACCTCATCACCCCTCTCTCCTCTGACCTCCCCCTCTCTCCTCTGACCTCACTCCTATCTCCTCTGACCTCACCCCTCACTCCTCTGACCTCACCCCTCTCTCCTCTGACCTCATCATCCCTCTCTCCTCTGACCTCATCACCCCTCTCTCCTCTGACCTCCCCCTCTCTCCTCTGACCTCACCCCTCTCTCCTTTGACCTCATCCCTCTCTCCTCTGACCTCATCACCCCCTCTCCTCTGACCTCCCCCTCTCTCCTCTGACCTTATCCCTCTCTCCTCTGACCTCATCACCCCTCTCTCCTCTGCCCTACCGTCTCTCACCTTTCCCTCTGCCCTCTCCCCTCTGCCCTCTCCCCGCATCCCCTCCCTATTTCCCCTCTGTCCTCTCTTTTCCCCTCTCCCATTTCGCATCTCCCCTTCCCCCTGCCCCTCCGTCCCCACCCCTTTCCCTTCTGGTTTCATAAGAATATATATAAGTTCAATGGACATGTCCTGAGAGAATATGTTCTGGTTCCCCCGATGTACAGTTTGAAGCATTCACTTACAAACATATAATCCGTGACTCCGAGTTTCGAGCAGCTTATTCTCTTTCTTAAATAGCTCGCTACTACCATTCGAATTTAGTATACAGGTACACTCATTCAAAGGCAACTGGAACATGTATGGATGGATGTGAAATATTTATTCTCAAGTTGCAGCTGGTTATTCGGACTATCATAATCCAGAATTATCCGGCATTTGTGTGGAAAGAATGATGTACTGCAGAAATTTGGTGAAAAGATGGAAATATCTCAGAAACACAACAGAGTGAGAGCCTGGCGCCGAAACACACCAACATGACATGCACGTGCGACATCACTTGTTGGGCTATAAAAAACGCTGGGTTTTCATTTGCATGCAATCACAATCTTACAACAATTGAACTGCGAAAACATGCCATGACTGACGGAAGCCCAACGCAACAACGCCATCGACCGACTGCAAACAGGAAATCATCTTTGCCTGGAGCCAGGTTTTGCCACGTAACAAAGCACCGTTATAAGACTGTTGCACCGTTATAAGACACACGGGACAACATGTGATCATGACCTTCCCAGATCCAGTCGACCGCGTATCACTACTAGAGCACAGGACAGATTCATACGGCTACGTCACTTACGTGAATGAACCACCACGGCCACTCCTACAACTACGGCAATACCAGGATTGCGTAGGATATCAGCCCAGACTGTGAGGAAGGTATTCGCGTTGAAGGCATTCGCGCTAGACGACCAGTTTGCGGTGTCATTTAGACGGACCTGCATCGTCGGCTGCGACGTCAATGGTGTCAAGGTCACAGAATATGGCCAAAACTGCGATGGAGACAAGTTTGGTTTAGTGACGAGTCACGTTTTATCTTTCGCCTTGCGGATGGTAGGCGACGTGTTTACAGGCATCGTGGGGAACGTTATGCACGAAACTGCGAACAGGAAGTAGGCAGATTTGGTGGTGGAAGTGTGATGATGTGGGCAGCCATCTCCTTCACTGCTAGAACCGAATTGGTGCAAGTTCTGGGAATGTAACGGCAACGTTCAACTTTATGAATAACAACTTATGGTTTATTGCATACAGTGATGTTGCGATGTAGATTCCTACACCGTTACCAAGCTGAAGTGACAACAACCAAGTGATGAGAGGTATACATGCATGACAATGTTGGAATAGGCAGCATTGATTAACATTGAAAACAACAGGTAATAGATACCGGTAAGTAGCATACAGAAGTCTAGATGGAGCCAAAGGTACAGTGAGAATAGCAAATAGCACACAGGTAATGAAGCAACGGATAATGAAGCCAGGTGGTTTTGTTGTCTGAGCTCGAGATCTTACAGCGTGTCGAAATTCCACATTACCGCCTTTCGAAATGAAGAACTAGGCACGAAAAGCACGAGTACCGCGACCGTACAGTATTGTATATATTTTGTTGATTTACATGTGATAGTGTATAAACTGGAAAAGACATTTTGTGTACTTACCTGCCCATAACAAAAAAAACAGCCAGAGCGACTTCATCTGGAATGAGAAATTGGTAAACATATACGACCTTATCGCCGTGATATAACTGAAATACGTATAAAACACTCGTTGAACATACACATACTCATCCACTCACATCTCTTGTGTGTCACTGCTAAGAAACCATTTTATTGATAACAATATCAAAATGATCTAACTACCTGTCTAACTAAAAGGCTTAGGGCGTTTGTATAACACCCATAACTCCTGCCCTTATCACGAAGCCAACACGCTGCACCCACTTGCTTGATTTTAAATTGTCATTAGTGGCCTTCCTTACAAACATTCACTGGTCGAGTATAAAATTCCTTTACTAATAGCGGAGCCATCTAGCCTCGCCCACTTGCATAAACCTAAGTTATCCAATGGAGGTCTTTCTTACAAATATTGGGGCGGTCGGGTAGCCTAGACCTACATTAAAATTCCACTTCCTGGAATGGCTTGTACAGCACCAAACTATCAATTTCGATTTCCATGAGTTTAACAGCTTGGCGCGATGAAATGAATATACTAGTGTCGAATGTATAACTTTAAATGGCTCGTCCAAAAGCTCATCAATAGAAATTGCCAGTCGCTTCCGTTAACACAGATACTCTTTTGGGAAAAGCTGCTACGTTCCTTCACTGAAACATTGTTGTCGTTCTGTTTAGACGTTACTTATTGTTTTTAAAGAACTTGTCGGTCACTTGAAACTCGTATCCTATAACATTGACTCCTTTATGGATATATGCCATGGATATATGCCATGGATATATGCCATGTTACTGGCATATTACACTCAAGAATACTAAAACCCTTACACTCTTTTTTCATAGAATGATCATGTGTCATCGAAGCATTATTATTATATTATTTTTAATGATGCGACTTTCAAACAAATCTGGAACCTTGAACTATAGCATATTTAACAAAAGGTGAAAAAAACGAGAGGCCAGGGTAAAATATTTGTGCATAAATATATAATTTGTATTACGCTTGTTGATTTATAACTTGGTCTGTGGATGGCATTTACAAGTTGGATGTTTACCACTGACCACGGAGGCGGTCTAGTGTTGATGGTCAGTTTTTGTGTTACAGCTACAGCGACATTGTAATTGTGATGTTAGAATCTACAGCGTGCCGTACTACGAAGTCGAGATGTAATTTCAGTTGAGGAGTCAAGTTAAGTGATCGTATGTCATGGCCTGTTTGTCCGGCGCCCGGCGTCCGGCGTCCGGCGTCCACACCTTATCGAAAAAACCCTATATCAGCATTGCTATCAGTATTTATATCCAAATACTTTCTTCATAAATACTGAGGAATAAAAAGTAACTCTAAAATAATATGATTATTTTTGAAAAAAATATGATGTCATCATTAAAACTATTCATACCAACGTTCAGCTCCCACAGTCTGGCATTACCGAGTAATCAAGAGCATTCGATCAATTTGTCAAAATAAGGTCAACATTGTGCCGACACGGAAGGTATTGGTTGCGTCCCACTACCCAACTATACATTTACCAAATGTCATTACGTTTTGAACCAAAATGATTTAGTAATGGCCATCAATAGGTTTTTCAATATGGATGCCAAAAGAACAAGAATATGTACTTTCACCCCAACGGGTCATGTGGTTGTTGAGGACTTGATGTGCTCTGTTCAAAGAAATGCCTTTGATGAAAATTGTAGAGCGTGGTTCAGGCGGAAATGTCATCAAGGTGGAATATTAAATATCGCGAGTAACAGACCATTTGTATATCCACTACTAACTAAGCATGTACAAAGTTCGTTGAACGGAATTCACGGAGTAATGGCCATAAATAGTTTTGTTCCTATGAGTGAGTGAGTGAGTATGGTTTTACGCCGCTTTTAGCAATATTCCAGCAATATCACGGCGGGGGACACCAGAAATGGGTTTCACACATTGTACCCATGTCGGGAATCGAACCCGGGTCTTCGGCATGACGAGCGAACGCTTTAACCACTAGGCTACCCGACCGCCCCATTTGTTCCGTTGATGACGCCCGTATTTGTTCATGACGTCGGAACGCGATTTTCAGTAAGGATGCCACGGTATCTCTTTTAACTCACTCACTTTAATTTACAGTTACAGAGCACGGGTATGGTGCTGACAAACCTAGAAACATAATCGGGGCGAACCGGGATTCGAACCCACAATCATAGGTTTCTGGCGTGCCCAAGGGACGAAACTCTGCACAGCGAATTGTGGCGCCTTAGACGACTCGGCCACCCGTGCCCCCTGAGTGAGTGGGTGAGTGAGTGAGTGAGTGGGTAGGGATTTTGGGTGGGTGTGTTCTTTTCCTATGACATTTGGTTTGCTTGTCGTCGTACCCCGACTGCCTCGGACGTTGCTCGTCACACGCGAATCTCTGGATTGTCTGGTCCAGGCTCGGTTACTATCAGCCTACAATGTCCACTAGACAGGAATATCATTCAAATCATGTACCACTGGAGAGAGATGCTCTTTTATCGCTGACCAACTATCGTAAATGTATCACTCAGTATTTGAATGTGACACTTGAAATGGATAGATGATAATTTAATGACACAAAGGATTCTGTGAGCAGCTGTTAATTACTAGCTGTCGCATCTTACGTTGATGTTTTGTTGCCGTGGCAACGTCCGGCGGTGTCCACGTTTGTTTTGTGCATGCATAACATCATGGATAAATCATTGCTACCTGGGTTGAATCTTAATTTGTATATTCCAGTCAGTGAATAATTAATCGGACAGGATCCTTTGATCATAGTTCTGTACAGACACCTCTTTAATCAACAGCTCATTTCTAAGGTGCTATTTTCCATCCACTATGTGGCTTCTTTAAGTGCACAATTAGTTTGCTATGGTATCCAGTTACTACTGTGATGGTATTCAGTAACTACTGTGATGGTATTTAGTTACGTGAGTGGGCGGGAAATTCATATGACATTTGGTTTGCTTGTCGTCGTACCCTGACTGCCTCGGGCTTTGCTGGTCACACGCGAATCTCTGGATTGTCTGGTCCAGACTCGGTCACTTACAGGCCGTCATGTGAGTAGACTATTGCTGAGTGTGACGCTAAATAACAGAGGAGGCGTGTTTTATCAAACTTATGAACCTTCTAAATGCAAGAAATACCAGAAAAAATAAGAAAACATCGACATACCTTATAGTGAAACAATACAATGTATCGCGGTATAAAAGGAATTCGCTAAAAGCGTTCGAGAGAAAAAACACGTGCAGCATGCACAAGCTGGAGTCCTGGCGGTAGCTCAGTGGGAAACACAACTTAACACGATATGTGAGGTTGCATGTTCGATTCACGTGACATCTTCCCGAGGCAAGTCCAGTTTCCACCCTTGCCGAACTTGGCCGGAACTTCCAGACTCGATTGTAGCGCAACCAATGACTATTACGAGTTATTTCCATTTTATGTCCCTCCTATTGACCAATCGTATTCCACCTTTCAGCGGAGGCGGCCCCACGGGTGTTGGACCAACATTAAGTATATAACTGTATATACAGTGAAACTAGTGGAAGCTTGCTGAACGTCTACATATAATTGAAGTGATTATATAACTTACCTTTATTTACTGTTTCACTTTGCAAATTACTGTTTGTATTATAATGTGATTCAGTATAACTGTATAAATTTAAACGGAAAGCTTTGTCGTTGTGTACATGAATTTGAACAAACTAGTGAAAGAATATTTTCCCCAATAAGGCTAGATTATCCAATGCAGCGCTCTTTGGTTGCCAAACAAATTATCAATAAATGTGTACATGGTTCACCATAAAGAGTAAAGTCTTCTCCGGAGATATTTCTCACACTCAGGATGTTAGAGTTTAATACAGAGCCGTATTTCGTCCTTCGCCAGAAAAGGACTGCATACGTCTTAACTATACTGAACCGCAAAAGAAACGTCACCCCAAGTAACATCGCATGAAAAGTTGTCATTTAAATATCTGGGTCATTTTTGTCAACGTTTCATAAATTTAACCTTACCTTGCCCGATCGCCCAAACGCATCACGGCGACGGCCATGGTAACCCGATGCACGTGAGTTCCGTGCAAATTGAAATGCACATGCGTTCCCCCATTTCTTGCCCTATAAAAATCCACCCAGATCGGATAACATTCATTCGTTATTGAATTGCTACCAAGACTGACAAGAAATCAGCGACATCAAGCCCTTGGATGATTGCAAGTTGGAAAAACCGCCAGGCAAGTAGTCGATGCATTTCAAGTCCAAGACCAAGGGTCACCACCACCCGATTGTGCGACAGCATCTTCAAGATCGCTTTGTTACTGCTGCGGAAACTGCTCGACAGACCATGGTGACACACCAGCGACACATTAGTGAGGACACCGTGCGTCGACGATTGGCTAGCAGACACCTCTACTGTCACAGGCCAGACCGAGCAATTCTGACGCCATGTCATAGCCGGGACCGTCTTCAGTGGGCACCACAGCACAAGCATTGGCGCCACCAGCAGTGGAGAAGAGTCCTCTTCTCAGACGAGAGCCGTTACTGTATTTCAACTATAGATGGCAGAGATAGAGAGAGAGAGTCTGTCGACGCCTAGGGGAACGTTATTCGGATGCTTGTGTTATTGAGAGAGACTCCTGGTGTGGTCCGAGCATCATGGTGTGGGGTGGAATTGTTCTTGCACAGAGGGTCGGCCCTGTGGTCTTCCAGAACATCGGTCCAGGGAGAGGCAATGGTGTCACAAGTCATGTAACCACACGCCATACCTCATTTGGCACGTCGCCGCAACCACGAGTTTCAGCATGATAACGCCCGTGCCCAAACTGCGAGAGAGCAACAAGAGACAGAATGGCATCAGAACCATGCAGTGGCCTGCCCTCAGTCCCGATTTAAATCCCATTGAGCACCTGTGGGACGAGATTCAAAGACGGCTGAAATGACGTCCGACCAAGGCCGACAACTGCAGCTGAACTGCGTCAGGCGTTCCTCAGAGTGTGGGCTCAAGTGCCTATGACCTTCATCAACCG